ATTAAAATAGGAGCAGGATCTGCGTAAAGGAATGAGGGTAGTTGAACAAATGAAACCAGTTTTCAATGAGTTTGATGTCTGGGGTTTTTAATCCCTAACTGCCATCTTCCCTGTGCCATAAACCCACCTTGGGATGAGGTGCAGAGTGTGGGCAGCCCTGGCTGACTAGCAGCCCACGGAGCAGATCAGCCCTGTGGCCCCTTTCTCCCCTTATTCCCTCTGTGGAGCTGTGACTTTGATTGTTCTCTATTCAGCTCTCAATTTTATGAAACTTGTGTTATTATTTTCCACATTGTTCCCCTCTTATAGAATTGGTAGACATTGCCCAAGAGTTACTGAGGGGAGAAAATAGGGAGAGGGCACAGTTTGCAGGGTCTTTGTGGGTTAACACTCAAGGATGCTCTCCTTGGCCTGGTTTTCTGTCTGGATACACAACCTAGAGTTTGAACAAAACCCTTTGTCTAAAAATCCTGTGTTGAGAGTGTTAGAACTACGTAGGGTTCATTGTCTCATGGGGAGAAAAACAAACCGTCATTTTCAAGTGTTATTTACAGGCAAGAAGGAGTAAGAAAATATGCTTTTATTGTGTGCTTTTACGTTACTGCTGCTGTTGAACAGCTACATAAAACTGTTGATAAAAGAGGAAATGTGTTCATTCTGGTTTTCAGCTGTTGGTTTGGGGAAATCAGGAGTAGCAAGAAATGAAACTATTTTAGAGTTGAGAATTGCTTAATATTAAAGATGTGCAAAATAGGAATAAACAGGGCATGAAGTGGAAATTGAATAGTGGAGGGCCTGGTGTCTTATAAGGAGTAACTGGAAAGATGTACCTGGCTTGTAAAGCCTCTAAAACTGAGGCAAAAGTTAAGTGAGATTAAATTAAGTAACTGAGGGCAGTGGGAGCATGTTGGATTTTATTAGAAAGAGAGAAAAAAAGAATCAGTCCTGGACTTTTCCATTAGATTCATATACCTTATTTGGGTTGGGGCCAGGGATTTGATCTTTCAGAAGTAGGTATTTTTAGGTATTAGAAAGTTGGAAGTCACGTATGTATCTTCCAGTCCCTGCTCCTAGCCAGTCCAAGGCTTATTCCTTTCAGTGTATATTTATTCCCTCCAGTCTAATTAAACGTGTCCCCAATCACTGCTTTTTTATGAATTCATTCTGTAAATGTTCATGTTCAAAACCACTCTCCCTGGGTTCCCTGCTTTTAATTTGCTGCAGGGATGGCCTCTGAATCCTTACTTGCAGTTCAGGATAAGAGATGTGAGTAATGGAATGAAAATGGACATTTTAGAAAATGAGGGGCCATGTTGGGTTTGATGCAGCTTTATTTAAAATTCACCATGTTAGGATATTTTTCTGTCACTGCTGGGTAAAACTGAAACCTTCTTTCCCTCTCCCCTTGCCTTTCTTTCTGGGAGAAGCAGGAATGACTTTAACTAAGGCTCCTTTGGAGAGCGGTCCAAGCCAGGTCTCATTCCCTGTGGGAGCTGAGCCCCGTGGGCACACAGGAGCCACTGGAGTTTCTGACAGGTCTGTCCACCTGCACATGTGGGAAAGGAAAAGCAGGAACTAAAGGCAAATGAAGCAGGAGCCCAAAGAGAGGCAGCCTCTTTGGTGTCACTGCGTGCAGCCGAGCCGGGGAGGAGATGAAAGGCTCTGCGCACGCTTCGGGAGCCGTCTCTCTTCTCGTTCCAGGTATCGGTTTGCCCCCCGAGGAACAGAGGCTCAGGGATGCTGTGACTGCTCACTCTTGTTTGTTTATGTTCGTTTGGAAGAGACATGTGAGCAGAGCTGTCTGGGCTGCTTACGGCAAAGGAAATGGATCTCAGGGGGACAATTAATTTTGCTTGACTATTTCTGAGCCAGGTGAAACCGTAAAATGAACCTGTGTCCTCCCCATTGTCTAAAAGGGATGTATTTATTTATTTTACATTTTAATGCACCACTGGCAATTTATGGTGTGAGCCTCAATGAATTATTGATAGAAGGAAGGTGTATAACATGGGAGATTAATAAAAAGGGTTATCAGACTTCAAAAAGAAAAAGGAAGGAAAAAACAGAGAGCTGATATTTTAATTAACTGCTCCCTGCCTGCATTGTGATCCCAGAGACATGAGGATTGAGTGCCAGAAGGTAAATCTGGTTAGAAATAAAGTAATTCCAGTCTTGTATTAGAGGTGAGAAATGAGACAATGCTTCAGTATTCCTGCAGTTTGAATAATCTCGGTTGCTGTTTGCAACAGAAAGTGGAGTTATTGGAATTGAGACAGTCTGCAGAGCTCTGACCCAGAGTAGTAAAAGAAAAATGCAAATAAAAGATAATATTTAAAATATAAAAAACAAAAAGCAAAAAATTTTTTAAAAAGCAGAAGTAATATAAGAATCATAAAAAGGTTTGAGCTCCCCCTCTCTGAATCCTGTTCCTTGAAGAGATGAGACAATTTAGATTCAAACAAAGACCAAACACTTCTATCCTGCTGATTTTTGTCATGGGACTGTTGGACCTTCAGGAGCACCTGGGACATGGCAACACTTCTGGATTCAGCCACTGGTGGTGAGTGGTTGTGCCCAGCTTTGTTTTGCCCAAGGGAGGGAGCACAGGAACCTCTCCCAAGGCCCAGCACTGGCAGCAATGCTTTGGTGCCCCATTGTGAGCCCTAGCAAGGAACGGCTTGTGGTGCACGAGGAGGAGCAGGAGGGAACCAAGCCATCGGTGCCACCATCTGCACGCTTGGCCGTGTGAAGGGAACGCCCCTGCCACTCCTCCCTGGGCTGGCCCCTCGCTCCTGCATCCCTGTGTCCCCAAAATATATCAGACTGGGAGACTGATGGCAAAAGGAGAGGTTTGTTTTAGGCACAATAATAGTTTTATTGCTATTTGCATCTCTAGAGAATAAGTTCAAGGACAGTTTTGCTGTACAAAGCAGTATTATGGTATTGAGAGAGTGAGTACAAAACAAAACTTACTTTAAAAATTCTGTCTCCGCTATTACACTGGTCTCTCCTTTCTGGATGGATCTGTGATTATTTAGATGCCACAACCTTCCCCTAAGAGCAGATAGGAATATTTTACCCAGTGAGCTTCCCAGCAAGCCAGGAGAGTGTTCTCACTTCAGCTATGCATGAATATCCTATCTGTATCAGCATTTTTGGTCATTAAATACATCAGATTCATTAAAACTTGCATTAAATACCCCAGCAGTGATGTGCAATAAAGCCAGTTTCACAAGCTCTGGATTTCTAAAAGGAGATATTCAGGAGAAAGTCTTTTCCCTCTGATAACACATGTGCAATGTCTTTGGATGATCCTTAGTGTGACTGGTGTCTTGTAAAGCTCTTGGTTTATATGGAAATGGTTTTTCTATCCTGTATTAGTCCATAATATGTTTCTGAATGGCTGAAGAGAAAATTGAAAATTGTCCTTTTTTTTTTTTTCCCCTCCCATTCCCCAGAATCTGGTTCATTTAGCAACAGAAGGGGAGTAAATGTATGTTCTCTTTAAAAAGTGCACCCTGAGAGATTGTACAGCTGCTTAGTGGTGCTTTGCAGTGTTTTCCTGCTGAATGTCTGCTCAGGGAAGCTGCATGTTTTGTGTGCTAGAAAATCAGTGCTTTATTTCAGCCATGTAGCTGCACACTCCATGTTTCCTGTGTGGGCACGTGAGTGATATTTAACATGACTCCCTTCCTGACAGCAGCTCATGTAGGAAAACAAGAAAGGAAAGTAAAAGATCAAACCCCAGAGGCTTATTTGTTGTATTTAATGCTTTGAAAATGTTTGCTGGAAGAAATATTGATGTAGCAATATGTGTTCACATGACTTGTAAGAGAGAATGGCTTGGCAAGCCCAGGATTCACCATGAGGGCAGCTAAGCCCTGGAACAAGTTGCCCAGGGAGGTTGTGCTGGTCCATCTTGGATTTTTTTTCTTCCTACCAGACTGGATAAAACACAGAACAGCCTGGTCTGACCTCAGAGTCCATCTTGAGCAGGAGGTTGGACTTGGTGACCTCCTGAGGTCCTTCATTACCTGAACTTTACTATGATCCTATTAGGTTGTGAGCAGCTTTGCAGGGGGAAGAGACAAATCACTCTGCCAGTACTTCCTGTGTCAACTGATGGCTAACAAAGGTAGATAGCAGCTAGCCAGAGAGCATTTCACTTCAATGTGGTGACACTGAGCCCCAGCCCTTGCTCACGACTGAGCAGAAAAGCCACTGAAGTCACCACTGCTAAAGCAGTGAGCGAGTGGTGTCACATCAACACTGAGACCTCAGCCTGAAGGGACCAAATATATGTAGAATTTTCTCTTTCTGCCGCAGTGGGAAGATGCTGACTAGAATTGCAGAGCAAATGGTGCTGCACCACTGGCACAGAGGAATAGACCAATTAATTGCTTGAATTCATGTCTTGCATCTTTTTCAAGCCCTAGATTAATGCAAGCAAAGCAAAGAGCGTGGAGTGGTTGACATTTAATGAAATGAATGTTAGTGTTTGAAGGAGTACTTTGTGATCATCTGCTGTGGTGACAGATGTACTAACAAGCCATGAATAGATGGCATGGATAGAAACATTATTATTTAGATTATAGTACTCCAAAGGTGATACTTGTTTGTCTTGCCTGTCTGTAAATCATGCAGCATGCTTTCAGTTCCATGATAGCATGGAAGCTTTTCATAGTAAAAGCCTTAGAAAATTATCTTGAAAAAGAACATCCCTGGTTTTTGAATGGCTGGAAAAAGACACAGAAGGGTGAATCCTTATCAAATAATGGAGGGATAAGAGTTCTAGTGAGAACTCTTCATAGAATGGGAACTCTTCATAGGTGTTTCTCCCGTCTGTGATATATGTGGGACTCTGTCCATGAACAAGCAATATTGAATGTGAAATAAATCCTCTTAGTACAGAGCAATCTGTATCGTCCTTGGTGGGGTTGGGTGCAGTGGAGATCTTCTGCACTGTTTATATTCATGCCAAGTATTTTCTCTTCCTGCAGCAAAGAAAACTTGTGCTGAGTCAGATTTCACTTGTGACAACGGGCACTGCATCCCAGCCAGGTGGAAATGTGATGGGGAAGAAGAATGTCCCGATGGGTCAGATGAATCAGAAGCAGCATGCAGTGAGTAGCACAAAGTGGTGTTTCTCAGACATGTTCTATTATCAAAGCACAGAGAAACTAAAGCTGTTGTTCCCAGCACTTGCAGGATGATCTGTCAATTTATGCTTGATCTTGTTCAATTTAGAACAAAAATTACAGACACAAAAGATTCAGGTCATTCAAATCACATGGTTTACAAACTTTCAAATGTACCCATTTTCCAGACTATGATACAGGCAGTGCTGTCTAGTCTGGATTTCTGTCTGCAAGGGAATTGTAAACATCTTGAGCTGCTTGTCAGGCTCATGATCAGCAGCAGTGCAAGAAGTGTTACACCTGGGACCAGGCTTTTTGGAAACTCAGATTTGGTGTTTTGCACGGTAACATATTGGGATTTATCATCGTTGCAGACAGCACTTCTGTTATTTCAGAGGAGCTTTGCAATGTTACTGCGTTGCTTAATCTTCATTTTCTATTTTTCCTCTGAGAACAAATGAGAAAAGCAGCAGATGAAAGATGAGAAATGTACAATAACTAAAGCTGAAAGTGTGACAGATGTTACTAGAGGTAACACCCTTTAAGAAACCAGTAAGTAAAAAGCCATTCTTGATTTTCATGTAATGCATCCTTTTGAGGAGGCCCATTTGTGCTTCATTGTTCAGGAACTGTGTAGGGTTGTCTGATACTGAATTAAAGGGAATCCCTGGGATATTCTAATGAAAATACTACCTTATTTACTATATTATGTAGACTTTTATTTGTGTGCTTACTTGTATCTGCAGAGTTTTTCTTGCCAGAGTAAGAAACTAGTACAGGCCATTCTATTGAATTTCCAGTCATGTACTTCACAAATATTCCCATGACTCAGAAACAGTGTTGGAGGAAGTATTTTATCAGATCTCACCAGAATGGGGTACATAGAGGACTTAAAAATCAACCCTACTTTTATTTTTAATCCTAGTACCAGTCCTACTTTCTCCCTAATTAAAGGAGATGAATGCACTTCTCTTGCATAAAATGAATTGAATCATTTTTGCAGCCTCGTACAGGCTACAGAAAAAATTACCTCAATAAATACATTACCATATTTATGTACTGTATTTGTTGGTCTTTCACCCTGCATCCTCCTTAGTTAAAAGCTGTCTCATTAATGCTACTTCCACTCCCTGATTGTCTGGAGGGGGGCTGAATAACTAAGCAGCTTCATTTGCTGCAGTCTCTGCCTGCAAATCTCATGTCAGAGGCCATAGCACAAGCTGTGGATGGGCCACGCAGCACTGAGATCCCTGATGATTTCTGTTAATCATCTTCATTCCTTTTCTACCCATTTCACCTTTCATTTTTTCCCCCGCTTATTTCATCCTCTGGGGAAATCAGCCTTAAATCTTAAGTATCACAAAAGAAACTTGACCTGAGCCTCAGATTGTTACCATACAGGACTGCTATCCTCAGAGAAAAGTCATTTGTTCTGATTTTTTTGATTTTTTTTCCTTAATTTTTGATTATTTTTTTTTCCCTTCTACTTGAAACTTTCTGAGAGATCAAAGTCTGTGTTTCTCTGGTGGTTCCTCAGTTCAGAAAAATATATAACCCATGAAACATCTTCCTGCAACACAGGAAGAAGTTTGTTCCTGTTCTATTAAAGAAACTAGTGGAATGTTGGGCTTCCCTTGTAATTTGGCCTGTTACTGTAAGAGGCCTGATTCTTCATCCGTGTAAATATTATTTAAGATGAGGCTGTAATGCCAGAAAATGTAGTGACAGGCAAAATGTATATTCATACATTTCAATATACAGGATATTCCTGTATGATACTTCTCTCCAGTCTCATTTTCTTTCTCCCTGATGTCAAGGGGTGACTGCAGGGCCTCTGATTGTCTCATTTTCCTGCTTAGAAATGCAGCACAGCCCTGTGGAGGGTCCTGCCCTGCTGAGCTTCCCTAGGGAAGGGACAGGTTGGGAAATAAGAGATTTCTCACCTCTTTTAAGATCAAACTGCTTTATAAAAATCAGTGGATTTCAGACAGGCCACATAATTGCCAGCACCTCTGCCAGGATCTGGGGTTATTCCTCAGTTAATGTAACACTGGGACATTGTCCATAGTCCATTCAATCCAGGGAGTTTAAGAGCATTAATAATGCTGACTATTGCATTTTAGGAGTACTTCCAGCTCAGAATGTGGTGAAAACAAGGCTGTTCCTCTCAGCATCTAGCCTGCTAAATGGCTTTTTATTTTCTGAATGCTTTTGTGGTATGTTTTTAAATAGTTTGTGCTCTGTTATTGGTAGTTAGGGATGTTGTGTCCACATCTCTTATGCTTGGTTGAAGGTAACAGTTTGTGGGGGTTTGTTTTTTTGGTTTTGTTTTGTTGTTTTTTTTTACAGAACCAAAATTGTACTTTGTACTTTGGTTTTTCTGTTTCCCTAATCAATGAAGTTGCTAAGTTTTGTGCCTAACAATATCCTCTCTAGGGACATCAGCCATTCGCAGGTGTTCAGGACAGCATGACCTCTGTCTTGTTGGATAGGTGAGATGGCATCACAGCTGGCCTAATTTCTGCTGGATCTGAGATGTCTGCACTTTTCTGCCATTCATGCAATTATTTTTTTAACTGTGTTCTTCAAGCCACTGAATGTGTCCAGGATTGGTGGCTGAAGGGTATCTCATGAATCCCACTGAATCCTCAGCTGATGAAACCTCTAGGACTTCTCCCTGTTGTGGGTTTTGGTTCTAGTTGAAAGTTGATTCGTTTCTAGCATGGACTGATTTCAGAGGAGATAGTTATCCAGACTTTTGTTTTGAAATGGGTTGTTGTAAATAAGAAACTGCTTATATTTCTTCATTTTTCTGCAAGACAGGTCTCTGGCACCTGCTGAAGATTTTTGGTAGCTCACATGTTCTCTGCATTGGAGAGCTGACCATATCCAGAGCCCTGGCCCTGGTTTTCATTACTGTCACTAAAAGCAGCCCAGTGTGGCTTGGTGATACCCTGGGGCTGTGGTACAGCCCCTGCTGATATACACAGGCTCTGCTTATGAGGATGGAAAGATTCCTCACCTTTTCCTTACCCAGTTTCTTGGAGCTGAGAGAGGGGGAAGGGAAGTAATTTTTCTGACTGAACTAACAGAGACCTCCAGCAAAATGAATGTTATCTACCTAATGCTATTCCAGCACAGGTACTGAATCATTCTGCTTTTTCTACAAGAAGGAAATTTTAAATTTCCCTCTGAAGGATTTGGATTATTTAATCAGTGACTTAAGCAAAAAAAAAAATTAAAAGCTCAAGAGAAAAATAGAAACAAATGCTAACAATCAGTAACAACACTGATGGGAACACAAATTAAAGGGCTAGAGCAAGTGAAAATCTAAGCTGGCAAACTCTTGCCTTAGGACATTGTATATATAATGAGATCGAGGAATGCAGAGAGCATAAACTCACCACTTCTTTCTTTTTCAGATATGTGACATTCTGCTGGTTAAGAGCAGAAAATATTGTATGGAAAAGTATAGAGTGTTAGAGGGTAGGGTGTTAAGAGGATGAAAAAGAGACTGGGAAACCCTAATTCATATTGCATTTAATAGGGGGATGATTTAATAGGGCAGGTTTAATAAGCAGCAGTTCTGGAAATAGATTTTAAAATGGAAGTGGAATATAAAATCAAGCCCTGAATGTTGGTTTGAAATGCAGCACCAGTTCAGGCACTTCTTTCTTATTTTGAAGTACATGTCACGAGTGGTTCAGGGAGATGTATCCAAACTTGACAGTTATATTTTTAATGGGAATTTTCCATGGTCCCAGGCACTCTGTGTGCTGCTGCTGTGTGTGCAGATCTCTCACAGTGCTGGTCAGTTCTGCCCTCATTTCCTATTAAGTTGCCCAAATGTAAAATCCTGTTGGTAGCATTGATGGTATAGTTCACCCCCAAATGCACAATCCCCTCCCAGCTCTCTGTTCAGCCCAAAGGATATTATGTCTCTATTATTCTTCTTTGATGCAGATCTCCTGCATGACTGAGTGGGTTTGGTGACATTACTGTGCTTTCGTGGAAAAGGACTTAATAAACTGTTCCCTGCCCTTGGAGAATTTTTCCTGGAGAAGGGTGGAGTGTTCCTTTCAGGGCATCACGTACACTGGGCTATTGAATTCAAGTAGCAAAAGAAAAAAACTAGGCCAAATCACCCAAGCACAGCCAGATACCCAGTTTTAGGACCTGGGGCAGTAAAGAAAGCTTTTTTTTTCTTTTTTTCCCCCCAAGGTTAAGAGTAGATCTGTTGGTATAAATGTGATAAGGTGCTGGGGGGTTGCAAATGCAGCGGAACATGTAAATTAAGGACTGTTTGCTGGAATAATCAGTTAGAGATCATTCAGGGAATTGAATACAGGGATGTTAATGCCAGATGTACAGGTGTGCATTTTAACAACACTCCAACTGCACCAACTGGCTACAGCCAGCATAAAATACAGCACTGTCCCCCTGGCACTGTCCCTGCTGGGCCTTTGGGAGCACTGCTGAATTGCAGCAGCTGAGGACCCTATCTGTAAAGCAAATATAGGACAAGGTACTGGATGTGGAAACACTTCTAGAGCCACAGAATTCTCCCAGAGACAAGGCACAAAAGTGGCAGTCTCATTTTCCAGGTGCCCAGACTGGTTTGCAGGGCTAGCGATGAAAGCTTTGATTTGTCAATGTGATCAAATTTATTGAGACAGAATAAAATGAAAACAGCCATGATTGTCTCTCCATGAAGTCATGGAATAATTTAAGACAGAGGTTCATAATTTGGACCTTAGGGAATCATCTAGTTCAATTCCTTGCTCAAACCCTGTCCTTATGTCTGACCACCCCTATTAATGGAAAAAATCTCTTTATCTTGACAGACTTTCCTTTGTTGCAGCATGTCTGTCACCTCCCATCCTGTCACTGTACACCTCTGAGGACAGTCTGGCTCCATCTTCACTATTCCCTTCCATCTTGGAGTTGAAGGCAGCAATGATAGCTTCCTTTAACCTTCTCTTCTT